TAAGGACCCTTAAGGAGTCTTGCCCCAGCTCTCTGCACAACATTGTCCTAGGGTTCTGGGCTCATTGGGGCCTCTTCAAGATGTTCTCAGACACACCCCAACTCAGACACCTCTCTGCCTGGTGCTGTTCCTGTGCTGGTGGAGTTCTAGCTGGAGTTCCCATACAGACACCTCAGGGTATCTGAGTGGGTGGGATCAGTCCGTGCTCCTCTATGTCCCCACTCTATAAGTACCAGAGCCTCTGACCCTAAACTCATGCTCTAGGCCCCACCCAACTTCCTTTGGGCAGTGACCCTACAGCAGGCCTGGTATTTTTCCCAGCCTTGGCTCCTCCTTACTCAGGCTCTTTCCAAAATCTTTGCAGGACTTGGGATGGTCACAAAATGCCCTGCTGCCCTTACGTCCAGTTTACTGGCAGCTGATTTTAAACTAATGGATTGGGGGGCAGGAAATCACCATGGGCCTGTAGCTTGAGGCTGCTGGTGGGCACAGGCTAAGACTGGCCAGAGACCAGGGCAAGCAGGTGTGGGTAGCTATTTTGCAGGGCCTGGCTGGCTGTGCAGTGGGCTTGGGGCCATGGATAGGACCTCAGCTGCTGGGTGGTGAAGCTGGAATTTGATGCTTTTCTGCCAAGGCTTTGGTTCCAGGAAGCATACTAGGCACTAGGCCCAGCCTTGAGGGAGGCTCCTGATTCCCCCAGGATGGAAAGGAGGGGGACTGGATGCTTTTGCCTTGGGATCTAGCTCTCCCCACCTCTCCAGGAGGTTGCCCACAAGCCTTACTCTTGGACCCTTACCCAGCCAGTAAATTGATTTCAAAATACCATCTGACCACCTTTGTTTTTCAGGTCCTCTGGGAGTTGCATGTAAGGACCCTTAAGGAGTCTTGCCCCAGCTCTCTGCACAACATTGTCCTAGGGTTCTGGGCTCATTGGGGCCTCTTCAAGATGTTCTCAGACACATCCCAACCCAGACACCTCTGAGGAGAGGAAGGGTATCCCATCTGGCCAGGTTCAAGGTCAGGCAGGGCTGTAGCCCTGTTAGGGAATGATGGGTTGGGGAGCCTCCACCCCTCCGCAGCAGCCTCCTTACCTGTCTTCTGAAGCAGGGCTGAAGGATAAAGTAGCCTGGCTGGGAAGTAGCATCCGACCCTCCCACCCAGCCATGGGCTTTGGCCCAGCAGGCCCAGTGGAGGCCAGATCTCCAGCCAACTCAAGGTCCCCAGAGACAAGCTGCTGAAAATATACCTTGGGAACTGTGACTGTCCTAGACTGCTCTTTGGAGGAGGGTGGGCGTTGGAAAGTGGACTCAGGGGCCTGATCAGGTTTCCCTTCACCCCTGAACACTTTCCTGTAGCCTGTGTTGGGCACCTCAGTGCCAGAGGCTGGCCTGAAGTCCTGAGGGATCTTCATACCTGTGCATACCCTCAGCAGGGCTCTGGGCTAGATGCTGGATGAAGGAAGAGTGGAGGACAGGAACCTTGCTCTGCAGTCTGAGGAGGTCTTTCTAGGTGGGGATGGTGGGGATTCCTCAGTGGTCCCTGGAACCAGCCCTGCCTTCTCTAGCTGGCCAGTTGGGGGCGCAGGGGTGTGTGTAGACAGGAGGCCAGGAGCCTGGAAAGAACCTTAAATTACCCTAGGTTTCCATGCACTCAGCATCCTTAAAAGGGCTGAACTTTTAGGCCCAGGCCCTGAGGCAGGCCTCAGGGAGCTCAGGGTCTTGTTCCTTTTACTCTACCTTCCCTGTGTGTAGCCTCCAACACAGGTGAGGCTGGGATGGAGTAGTCTAGGGTTACTTCTGGCAGGAGGAGCAATAGACCTACACCTGTGTGGGTACCCAACAGGTACTGGTTTTGGGGTCGACCGCTGGGTGGAGGATATGGGTGGGGCTGCCACTGATTAGAGTCCCACCCATATGCAGGATGGTAGGTAGGAAGCAGAGGGAGAAAGCCACTGAGGTTGTGTTGGCCTGTGGCTGGATTTGAGAGGGGTTCAAGGATGGTGTGTGTGTGTGTGTGTGTGTAAAGAGTATGCTTGTCTTCATGTCTCTGTGAATCTACATGTGTCTGTGTCTCTGTGTGTGCCTGTGTAAGTACGGTTGTGTGTGTGTGTGTGTGTGTGTGTGTGTGTGTATGTCTTTGCATGTGCCTCTGGAAAAAATAGTGTACCAACATGGGCATGGTCCATGGCCTTTGCCCCTGTTGCCATCCCTCCCCTGCCATGTGACCATGGCAATGAGAACAATAGCAGAGGTGGCTAGGAAGGATTCATTGAGTGTTTCAGAGGGCTTCCTGGCAAGACAGGGCTGCAGTGTGGATGTGAAAGGAGTCTTCCTTCAGGTGGGGCAATAGAAGGGGCTGAGGACTGAAGCATTGTTCACCTGCCCAAACAAATATTACCTGGGTGAAGCTTTGAGACACCTCTCCTAGAGTGTGGGTGGGTGAGGTTGGATAAAACATCTGACCATGTGTGCTGGGACACGATTTATGACCCCAAATCCCTGAAGGAGCCACATAAGATGCCTTCAGGAACTAGGACATGTATGTATGTGTATGTGGCACCCAGGCTCTGGGCTCAGGTGTACACAGACCTTAAGTAGAGCCACATGCTGAATGCTTCAGGCTCCTAGAACAGTAAGACTGTGGGTACTCTAGAAACTGTACAAAGAGGACTTTCACCCCTCCCTGGCCCTTGGGCCATTTGTCTGCATTTCCCTGTCTACCTAGGGCTATTCTACTCTCAGGGGTAAGGGGATTAGGAAGTCAGGATTTTCCTCCTACTTAGTAGACCAATGAGGAGACCCCAAGGGATGGAAGAAGAAGGGAAGCAGCACTGGGCTGGTGGCCTTGAGACCAGGAGCCACCCAGTGGTACCTGTGCCCAGCAGAACAAGCGGCAACTCGCTTCAGGCAGAGCTGTGGTCTCAGAGAGGGGCTGGGGGGAGAGCGGGGAGGAGTCCTGGTCACATGGGTGAGGACTCCCTGGAGTTGTAGCCTCTACTAAAGACATGTGGTCAAGGGGCATCTTGGGATGGGGCCAAGCAAGGCTTCCCTCCCTCTGAGCCAGGCCTGGAGGCAGGTGGGCTTTAGGGAAGGGAGGTGGGCTTTAGGGAAGGGAGGTGGGCTTTAGGGAAGGGAGGTAGGCAGGTGGGCTTTAGGGAAGGGAGTATGGGGATACCCAGGTGCAGTATGGGTGGAGAACAAGGGTCAGAGAGTGGGCTGCACTGCTGCAGGAAGGGGTCTGGACAGCCTGAAGGGACATCTTAGTTTTGTTTTGTTTTAGGACAGGGTCTTGCTATGCCATTCAGGGTGACCTTAAACTGACTATGTGGACCTTCTACTCATGGTGACCTTCCTCCCTCAGCCTCCTGAGTGTTGGGATTGCAGGCTTGTGTGCTGCCATGCCCAGTCAGACTTTTTTTTTTTTAAATCAAGAATCAAATTCAGTTTTGTGCTTGCCAGGCAGGTGCTATACTGCTGAGCTACATCCTTGGCCCTGCTTTTTTTTGAGATGGGTGTATCTGGCATGGAGGAAGCTGGCAAGAAGTGGCTGAAGGGAGTGGGATAAGATGAGGGGAAGGACTTGGGGGCTGGGAGTGTGGGGAGGGGGAATGGCTCTTTCAGGTAGGGTGTCCACAGAGCAGGAAGGTGAGGGTCTAATAATACGATGCTCGGCTGTGACCCAGCCCTGGAGTGTTAGACAGGAACTCCACCCAGGAAGAGGCCTGAGCTAAGGAGGCCTCCCCAAGACATCGCTGCCTGGCACCAGCTGGGCAGCCTCCGCCTTAGCTGAGCCTGGACTTGGACCGATCTGAGTGCTGGGCGCGTCCCAGAGATAAGACACACTCCCCACCTAAGAATCTTTGAGGCAGCCTAGGTGTGGTCTTCTGTCTTCTGCCTCCAGCTCATGGGTCCCCAAATGTCCTGTGGAGGAGGGGCTGTTCTGCCTGGAGTTCCCTTTTTAAAATTCCCCAGGGATGTCCCTGCTGTGAGTTTCAGAGAGCAGTGGTGTGAAAGGAGCTGGTAGTGGCTGGATGGCCTCCTGGTCCTGGTGGGCTGGAAGACCTAAGCATTGTTGAGATTCTGTGTCATCAGCCTCTTATTAGGGGAACACGAAGTGTGAGAAGACCTTCTCACATGTTGATTCCCTTCACGCACTTCCGAAGTGACTTTGTTCCCTCCCAGGTGCAGCCTGTGGCCTGGGGAGGTGGGGGTGGGAGACACACGTTCCTGCCGGTTGGCTCTCAGGGACCTCGAGATGCGCCCGGGCGGGTACTCTGAAGCACCCCGGTCCAGAAATCCCCTGTCCCGCACCCCGCTCTTCCCTCGCTAGGCCGGCCCCGCCCGGGGCGCGCGGGTGCAGTCCACAGTTCGCGGCTGGCCCGCCTCCATGTGAGGTCCTGAAGTCCAAGTCGGGGCTCGGGGGCGGGCACAGAGGCGGGGCATCAAGGGCGGGGCCCCCTGGGTCCCTCAAAGGCCCTGACCCGAGGGTTCCACCCTGTCCCCGCGCCCGCAGCCATCTCGAGGTCCGCTGTAGTTCCTGTCCTGTACGCGCCGCCATGCCCAAGTGCCCCAAGTGCGAGAAGGAGGTGTACTTTGGTGAGTGCGCCGCCAGGCCCGATGTAGAAGCTTCCCGGGGTGACCCGACATGAAGAGGAAGGCCCGGGGCTAGGGCCGACCACTGGGTGGGCGTGGGGTGGCGGGGCCGGGCAGCGCCGGGGCGGGAGGATAGGGACTCCTGCCTCGACTGTCCTGCCGCCTCTGCCCACTCGGCATCTCTGCCTGTCTTCCGCTTCTACTCTGTCTCTGTGACCCTCTGTCCCCAGTGATCCTCATCTTGGGTCCGCTCATCTCCTCGTCTCCGGTAGTGACCCCACGCACTACCGGTCTCTGGGGCTTTTGACCACTAATCCCCTGTGTCTGGGTCCCACTGTGTGCCCCCCACCCCTCTGCGCGCCCTTCTTAGCGCGCCCTAGGCTGGGTTTCCGCTGGGCGGGAAGGGGCAGGCTGGGCGCCGCCTAGCACTAAACAGAAACAGGAGCAGAAACCAGCGCCCCCGGCGCAGTTCGCCAAGCTTGGGTCCCCAGCCTGTCTTCCTGCCCCGTGCGCCTCAGAGCGCACGCGGAAGGGCGGAAGCGGGAGAAGGGCGTCGCAGGCTCCACCCTACACCAGGCTGAAGCCAGAGCACTTAACCTTAGTGTTATGGGTCAACTCTGCATAGGAACCAGATCAGCCAGATAGAAATTTGAATAGAGCCTTTTATTTACTGAGCTCAGGTCCCTCAGCCACTTCTCACGCAGGAGAAGGCTGATGGGCTCCGAATGTAGGTAGCAAGCGGGTATTTATAACAAATCACATCCAGTTTGGTAAGCAAATTTGTTATCTAGCACAGAACAACAGAAACTACATTCATTTGACAGAGCTGCAAACTATAACTAAAAGGTGTTTTATAGCTTAGTGATAAGTGTATCTTTTTATAAGATATCTTAAGCTGACTATGTTATAGGAGATGGTTGGGGAGGGAGTTTGTGTTAGCTTGTTGGCTCTATTCAAATTTCTATCTGGCTGATCTGGTTCCTATGCAGAGTTGACCCATAACACTTAGTAGCCTAGCCTAGACCCTGGGGCTGGGCACTCCTACCCAGCCCTGGGGTGTTTCTCTGCCTCATTACCCCTTGAGATTCCCAGGAAGTGGCCCAGAAGCCATCTGTCTTTCTGGTTTGTTAGTATTGTCTGAAGGGACTGGAGGGCTCCCCGTGGGACAGGCTGGCAGGAGGAGAGACCAGTGTGTGGATGGGAGCTGGGGTGTGCCAGGGGTGGATGTGCCTACCCCTCAGCAGGGACTCAGGGTATGCTTTGCAGCGGAACGGGTGACCTCGATGGGCAAGGACTGGCATCGATCCTGTCTAAAGTGTGAAAAGTGTGGAAAGACGCTGACCTCTGGGGGTCACTCTGAGGTAGGTGAGGGGGCAGGTTGGTGGGGGGAGGCACTGGTATGGGGGACATCCCCCTTACCACTGTTCTTTTTGCAGCATGAAGGCAAGCCTTACTGCAACCACCCCTGCTACTCTGCCATGTTTGGCCCCAAAGGTACACTCTGAGGACCCAGGTCTGGGATCTTTCCCCAGTATAAAGCCCTGCCTTTTTAACCCGTTGACCCTTCTTTTTCCTCTAGGCTTTGGGCGGGGTGGTGCTGAGAGTCACACCTTCAAGTAGACCCAGGTATAATTCTGCCTCCAGTGCCATCAGCCCACCTAGCCTCAGGGCTGACTCTGCATGGGGCTTGGTGGCAGTGCTTAGAGCTAGCTGTACTCACATCTGTATCTGTCTCTCTCTACAGGTTTCAGAGATCCCATCCTTGACCACCTGCTGGGCCACTGGCCATCCAGGCACATACCAGGCCTTATATCCAGAGATCCAGGGCTCCCAGCAGCCCCTCATGTCCCCAATAAAGCTGAACACTTGGAAGATATGTGTGTGTGTGTGTGTGTGCACGTGCGTGCGCGCACGTGCGCACGCACTACACGACAGTACACCTGCGCATGAGTCAGTGGGTGGTGGAGGAGAGCTGGGGGTCCACAGAGTGCCCATGTTCCTCCTACTCAGCAAGTATTGGGTGGAGTCCGCTGTAGGGCAAGAGTCCAAGGCTTTCTAATATCCAGATCTGCAAAGGTGCCCCTTTCCTTGAGTGGTACTGGTTCAAGGGGAGGATGGGGTCAAAGGGACAGAGGTGACTGGATTGGGTGGGGCTTTGAGGTTGGCCTGGCCCAGGTCAGGTTGTAAACCTGCTGCAATTATGTTGGTTCCCTTGTTGAGAGGATTTGGGGGAGTTGTGTTGTGGCCTCCTTGCCTGGCCCCTTCCAGTTTCCTGCCGTCCCACCCCAGTCCTTGTGCCCCTGGGAAAGACGTCATGCTTATAAGGGTGTGCACAGCTGTTCAGTGGGGACCCAGATGTAGGGTTCCTTCTCAGCTTTCTTTCCTAGCACTCGAATGGTATTTGGGTGCTGGCTGTGGGACGTGGAAGGGGATTTCTGGAAACTCCCTGGTCAACTCTCACTAGTGACACTGTGTCAGCCTCCTACCCACCTCAGGCCATTCCTCCTCGGCTCCTGGAGGTCACTGCTGTAACTGAACATTGCAGAAATCCTCACTCTGGGTGGGGCAGGAACCATAGGGGTGATCTGTATGGTGTGCGTGTGTGAGATAGCTGATTCTGGAATTCCAGAAGATGCAGCACATCACTTTGCACAGTAGGTGGGGAGAGACAGCTAGGATGCTGAGTAGGTCTGAGCTTCCTGTTTTCCCACTCGGGACTAAGGGCTCCCGAAGTCCAGAGCAGACCCTGCCAGATGTGGTGTGGGACTGCAGTTCCTCTCCCTAAGGATCCCACCTGTGAGATTCCCGCACCCGGGTAGCTCAAGGTCCTAGCTGGGTCAGGCTTCGGGTGCACTGGCCGTGAGTGGAGGTTCCGGGAAGTGGGGTCCGCCAGACCTGGGTAGAGGAAGAGCTCTGAGAAAGACTAACCAGGGGCCGGACGCCGGAAACGAAATATACAGGCGTCAGGGTTGAGATGGAGGCAGGCATGCTCCGTGCTGGAGGGACTCACAGAGCAGGTCGCTGGGGGCCGGGGGGTGGGCAGTCGGGCAGTAGTGCGTCCAGCGGGCTGGAAGACACTCAAGAGTGTCTCCATCTGTCCATCCGTCCAGGATGCGCGTCCTCCGCATCAGTGATTGCTGCGGGGCCGTGCTGGTGAACTTCTAGGAAACAGGCAAGGGGAGAAAGCAGGTGGGGTTGGGTAGAGGGAACTTGCGCGGGAGTTCCTTAGTTCCCTTCGGCTCTTCGTTGAACCCACGGGGTGCGGCGCTTTTGTCCACCGCGGGCGGTGCTCTGAGAGGAGGCCCTAGCGTGCCTCCTGGCGGTGGGGATTGGGAGGTTTCGCGTAGGGCTCCGGCTCAGTTGGGTGCGGAGAGGTTCCGCGGTCCTCCACTGCGCCAGAGGGCGCCTTTGGCGCTTGCGCCCCTTGAGGTTGCTAGGTGACTGGTGGTGGGACACACTGATTGGCTAGCTAAGGGCGAGGCTGGGTGCTGGGCGAAGATTGGCTCCAGAATTCCGACTGGACAAAACCGCCTTCCAGTCCCGGAAGTCCGGAAGAGCTTCAGCAGGAGTTAGGTCTACATCTCATAGGGCCAGGACGGCCGGTGTGGGGACCCGGCCGGGACAGTGATTGGTCGCTGGACCTGGGTGGCTGTGATAGGGCGAGGGGACCCTGGCGGGCGATCCAAGGAAGACTGTTGCTGACTGCATGGGGAGGCGGCGGCGCCGGATGGACAAAGAGGCCTCGGCCCGGGCTGGGGCCGGGGCAAGGACACTGTTGGATGCCATTGCTGCACTAAGTCGGTCGCTGCCAGCCGGGCCCAACCCCGAGATCTTCCGCCGCGCCAAGTTCGACCGTCCAGAGGCTGTGAGGCTTGCGGGGCGGGTTCCGGGCCGGGTGTGGTCCTGAACGAACTCAGGGGACAACCCGACCCCTCTGACAGCCGTCTCCTTGTACAACACAGGCCCCAGCGCTCTGGCAGCTCCTCTTCCGATTGCTCGCACCTCTCCAGGTCGACCGCGCTACAGCCTCGCTAGGCCCGGGTAGGCCCCGTCCACAAACCACGCCCCCACGACCAGGCCACGCCCTCAGAAATTTTACCTGCACTCTTTGGTACACCCCATTCTGTAAAGTCTAACCCCAGGCAAAGCCACAACCCCGCGGGCACTGGCTTTGCTCACCTAGGTAGCATTGGCCCTGCCCACTCCTTTCCCTGATTGGAGTTTCAGCCCCCACTTCCCTTGGTTCCCACTGAGCTGGGCCGCTGGTTGGATGTTTGTGGTTCCTTTTTTTTAAAAAAAAATTAATTAAATTAATTTACTTATTTTTGTATTTTAGGGGAGGGTCTACAGGGTGTTCAGGGTCTTACTACCAGATCGGACTCCATAGTGATCCGCCTGTTTACAGCCTCCCAAAGAGCTGGGATTACAGGCGCGCGTCAGTTGCAGTCTCAGCGCAGTGGGGGTGGGGCCTGCATGGCAGGCCCGGGGATCGAACCCCGGGCCCTGCGCTTGCTTGCAGACACTTTAATCCGCTGAGCCCTTGTGCGTTCCTTAAAGGCATCAGGTGATGATACATCCAGGTTGGGGTCCCCCCTAAATGGTGGTCTCCTCCAGGGGCCCAAGCTCGCTGGGTGAAGGCAGTGCTGTGCTATCTCGGCTACCCTAGGCCAGCTCTGGCACAGCTCCCAGAGGACGGCTCCCATGGCAGCAGGGAGCTGCTGCTGACCTTTTCCTGGCTCCTGGCCCAAGGGCCCCTGCTAGAGTGGCTGCTGGCTCAGACCTGCGTGCAGCTGGGTGACCAGGTGCCCACGGTGGAGGTGAGTGTAGTTAGGGTTACATGGGCCAGACCCGCCTAGAATCGCAAGGTACTCCACTTTTCCTGTGGCCATAACAAGGCCAGGCAAGGCTAGCCCCCGTGCTCCATGTGACTTTGGAGCAGCCCTCCCAGCTGAGCTGGGAGGCTTGGTCCTGTGAGGCAGCATCCTTCCCCATCTGTCCCTCATAAGTATGGCAAGTTGGAAAGGCCTGGGGAGATAGCTCAGTAGAATAAGCACTTGCTTGGCAAGCATAAGGGCCTGAGTTCAATCCCTGGTTCCTCCAATAAAAAAAAAAAAATAAGTATGGCAAGTTAGGGGCCGGGAAGATGGCTCAGTAGAATAAGCGCTTGCTTGGCATGCCCGAAGATCTGAGTTCAATCCCTGGTTAAAAAAAAAAGTATGGCAAGCAGAGCGTGACACTTGTTCCCCCACAGTGTGAGGTCCTGACCAGTCCTGGCCTAGCTGCAATCCAAATGGATGCAGAGGGCCCTGTGGACCTCCGCAGACTGCAGTGGCTGATGGGAAAACTTCGGTTCCAGTGGCAGCGCTTGATCTGCAGTCAGCAGGAGCAGTGTGCCCTCTTGAGCAAGGTAGGTTGGGCGCATGACTCCCTATCAGGACAGTTCCCCTGTGCCAGGCCCCAGGACACCTGTCCTTGCAGCCTGTGTACCAGGCCTGGTCGGGCTGAGCCCACGGTTCCAGGGCAACGTGTGGAGCCTGAGCTCTCACCTCTAGGTTAGGTGGTCCAGGAAGAGGCTAGTGAGTGGTCACAGTTCTCAGCCTGCTGGTAGAGTGGAAGCTGGATGTCATAGAACTTATAGGGTGTGCTTTCTTGTCACCAGAAGTCACTATGGCCTTCAGATTCCACATCAACAAACCTGGCAGTGGCTCCATGGAGGAATGAGTTCCTCCTGGGCCCCAAGGAGGAAAGGCACCTCTACCCCATCCTGGGTATGGGTCAATTGGGGCAGGGTAGATTTTTTTTTTTTTTAGTGGGACAAGATCTCACTAAGTTTCCCAGGCTAGCCTGGAACTCATGACCCTCCTGTCTCAACTTCCTGAGTGTCTGACATGTAGGGGCTTCTTGTAGGGGGCTGTGAAGGCTGTCAGGGGTCACTTATGTGGGCCCAATCGCCCAGTGGCATGTTCAGTATGAGTCAGTGCTGACAGCCCCCACAGAGGTCTCAACAATTTCTCCCAAGGCCACTCACTCTCTCTTGCCTGCCTTTGGCCCTGGTGGTTCCAACTGTGCTGCCTCCTGCCTCACACCTGGGGCTCTCCTATGCCCCTACAGCTAGGTGATCATTGAGTCCTCACCATTGGTCTTGAGGGTTCTGCTATGCTCTCCTGGCCATTCCCTTGGAGACAGATCCACATCTTTAAAAGCCTGCCACTTTGCAGGCAGAGTGAAGGGCCCTGCTTAACTGTGCCATACCTCTGGCAAGCTTTGTGGGGTGGGCAGGCACTATGAGATTGGGGGCCCCCAGCATGGTGGCAGAGCTAGGGCCTGTCCTGCCCAGCCTCAAAGTGTGGCTTCTCTGAGTTCTTTTTCCTTGTCTGTCATGGTAGTGCGGGCTCTACATGGTACCCAAGCTAAAGAAGGCGGTCACAGTGTGTAACTGATGGTATAAAAGTTGTTAAGATTACTTAGTGACAAGACTTAATTCAGTTATTGAGAGGCCCATAGAGGCTGCTTCTCTGTATAAGAAAGCCTCAGGGAAATAGCCACAAACTGATACCTCTGTAAGTTACTTATTTGTAACTCAAGGACACAAGGACAAAGATATAAAAGAAAACCACTTGGGCTGGTGAGATGGCTCAGTGGTCTAAAGCACCTACTTAGAGCAAGCTTAGCAAAGCACAGGGACCGCAGTTCAATCCCCCAGCACCACATGCTAGCCAGCCCCGCCCCCTGGTGGGCTGAGCTGGCCACACACACACACACAAAAAAAAAAAAAAAAAAAAACACTTGCAACATTTGTATAGGTTTCGGTTGGGACAGGGAAGGAATGGGATGGTTTGTTGTATGACAAATGTCGACCTAGTTTAAGCAAGCTAGGGGCAGAGAGGACATAGTGGTCAAAGCAAACATCTCTTGAGAGTAACTTATTGTTGGTTGTCCTGCAGATGTGTTCCAAACTTAACATGCATTGTGGGATCCTGGGAACTTTGTTCCCAAGGCCCCTTTTTATGTCCACTTTGGTCACGCCTTTGGGCAGAATCTCCCCCTAGAAGGCCTGATGCTGGAATCACTGTTATTCACACAACCTGGTGTGTGGTTGTGCTGTCCATTTCAGATCCACACATACACCCATGGCTGCCACAGTGACCGGAACCTTGGCCACCTGTCTGTCACTGAAACAGAAATGCTCCGGGATCCAGAGGGCATCCATCAGGTGAGAGATGACCTGGGGTGGCTGCCATCTGCAGTGGGGCAAAGCCTGTTGGGGTGAGCTGGGGCTGCTCTATCTTATAGGAGTGGCTGTTTCTGGGTGTCATTGCTGATATGGGTGACAAATGGTCCTCCAGACCTCTCCCTGCTTGGGACTGTCCACCTCTCCTCGCATCTGGCAGGTGTTGTGTGTGTTGGTCCCCGGGCCAGGTTGGGCAGCCAAGGGGTACAGAGTCCAGCCTGGGTTTGCAATTGGCTTGGCAAGGGGTGAAGGAACCCTGGCCTCAGGTCTGGGCCAAACCTGGAGTGCCTGGGAGGGAGCGGATGGCTGCTTCCAGAGCTAGGGCCTGTGGGAAGGGTTGGCTAAAGGGGGGAGGCCTGGTGGCCTCAGTCCTGCTTGCTTACTATGGGCACCGGCTGCTTTCCAGGCGGGGATGGGCAGGTGATGGGGTCCTAGGGTCCCAGGCAGAGCCCAGATGTAAAGGAAAGCAGGCACTGGATCTTAGAGGCTGTGAGACCTCAGGTATCCTTTTCTGAGGCATCTCTCCAGGATGTCCAGTCTCCCCTCCTTTCTCTTCGCCCACTGACTTGTCCCCCTCTTCTTTTCACCCTTTCACTGCTTCTTTTTGCTTGTCCAGCTTCATCTCTGGGCTCCCAGGATAGGGCCAGAGCTGACTGTTACTTAGAGTGGGGCTCCGGGCCATCCTGAGTTGTGGCTTGGGCTGACCAGCCCCAGTGTCCTGTTGCACAGGAGCGCTGGAGTCAGTTGGGGCAATCCTCCTTCCAGCCTGTTTCCCTCTTGTCTTCTTTCCTCCTCAACCCTGAGACTTGGCCTCACCTCCAGGTTGTCCTAAATGCTGGGCAGGTGGGACCTGAGGACCTAGGACCAGAGGCAGATGATCTGCCTCCTGGTCTCCATTGTTCACTGGGCTTCTGAAGATCCCTACCTAGAGCATGCTCTGGGCAACTGCGGACCCCACAGTGGCTAAGGTGCCCCTTGGTAGCACCTGCCCAGCTTGGTGCCAGCTGGCCCAGCTCAGTTAAGGCCTGTGCCTGATATGGACATGCTGGGGCAGCATTTGGGTATCCCCTTGTGCCCTTGGCTCTGTCGCTCATTCGGAGGTGACTCAGCTCATTTCCAGGTTGGAGCAAAGCCAAGGCTGCCCAGGCTTAATCTGGGCTTGCCTGGAACTGCTTTGTGGGACCCTCTGTGTGATGTGTGGCATGGGATGTCCCTTGTTCAGAGGCTGGTCTGTGTTGGTGCCATAGGACAGCCAGAGACAATAGTAGGGGTTCCCTGGGGCTATGATTGTCTCAGGTTCTGAAGGAGCAGTGCCCAGTGTCTGAACCTGACCTACCTGCACTGATAAACTGTGTCCCAGAAGCTTCTGGAAGGATCTGTGACTGGTGTGCTGCCAGACATGCTGTTGCACAGCTAGGTATTCCTCTTGGTCAGAGGGGAGCCTGCAGCCTTTAATGTCCCTAGCAGGAAGGCAGGCAGGGAGGTGGCTCTCCTAGGGGGTGAAGCAAGGTGGGAAAGGAGGGGAGGGAAGTGGCCACTTCTTCTTCCTGTGCCTGCCCAGCCTGCCTGTCTAGGGTTACACTCTGTATATTTATTTGGTCCTGTCTGTCCCTCACCTTGTCTCTGCTGTGGTAGATTTAGGATGGGCCGGCAGGGGCTTGCATTCAGGGCACTCCCCATTGAACCACCCGACCCCTCCTCCCTTGGTCTGATCTCTGCCTCTCTCTACAGCGGGGAATTCAGGTGAAGAGGGCCTGGCATTCACTGCTCAGCAGGGATCCCCTCCCTGAGCAGGGCCATAAGGCCCTGATATAAGTGCCATGAATAGGTTCTCTTCCTTTCGTAGGACCTGTCCCTGCCCTGACAGGCCACAGGCTTCTAGAATACCCCAGCCAACCCATCATCAGCTTCTGGTCCTCTCCAAGGGGGGGTCAGGTGCTGGATCCACCAGGTTTGGGGTTCCCACCCAGGATACCTGAGTGGAAGGGGGAGCTGTGGGGATCCTAGCTGTAGTCAGAATGGAGATGCCTTGAAGGCAGAGGTAGGGCTGTGGCACACTGTGCTGGACATCTCCAGCTTCTGTGTGTGTGTGTGTGTGTGCGCGCGCACGCACGCATGTGCATGTGTGTGTGTGTGTAGGGTCATCAGGCTCTAGGTGGAGGGGCGGGGAGAACAGCTGATCTGGCCCCACCCTTCCCTGTTCTCCATTTGTGTCCCAGCCTCACCACCTCCCACTTAAGCCAGTGCAAAGTGCTCCCAACCTTCGGGGTTCCCAAATGACAGGGGAGGGGGTTCCCCTGCGTCTGAGGCTGGCACACTCTCTTCTTGGGCCTTCTGCTCAGTGCAGCCCCCAGTGAGGTTGTCCTTGGCTCAGAGCTTCTAGGCTCAGAGCTGTCCAGTGCAGGGGGACCAGGGTCAGCCCTGAGCCTAGGATCTCCCATGGGGCAGGTGTGGGGACCGCGGGTGTGATCAGAAGGGCAGACCTGTTTAAGCTTAGGGACACCCTTCCCTTCAGAAGGGACTGAAACCCTCAGGCAGATGTTCGGGTACCCTCGGGGACAGGCCCTGTAGCTGCCTGCAGGGACCCTGGTACAGGCAGAAGTATGAAGCTTGCTTGCTTTGCAGCAGTTGCGGGCACTGGAGCAGGAGAATGCCCGGCTGGAGGCGGCTCTAGAGTGGCGGCGCTATGAGCCGGTCTTCTGGCAGTGGATGGTAAGGATGCCATGCTTCCCCTGCCTCTCTGGCCTCAAACAGTGGGGGTTTGAGGGTCTTCCCACCTCCCAGACAAGAAGAAGAGCCCCCAGGAATCCTGGCCTGGCGACTGAGTCTGGGTCCTGCCCAAGATATGGCTTGTCTTCTGGCCCTACCTTGTGTCGCTAGGTGTCGGATGTTTTTCTCTGGGATGCTGCATGTGTGGGACTGCCACTACTCCTCTTGGTTCTATTGACTGGAGGCCTGTGCACGGCGCACACTCTCTTGCTTGGGTCTCTTCAGGACACTGTTCTAGGTGCCTGTCCCCCAGAGGGCCCTGCTGCGCCCATGTTCCGGTCCAGGATCCCTGAGCATGAGTGTGGCAAGCTGGAGCTGGCGACCCTACAGGAGGAGCTACAGACACTGCAAGAGGAGCTGCAGGCGTTGCGGGAGTTGCTGTGTGAAGAGGTGCTCAGCCGGCGCCAGGCCTGGGAGGCCCAGGTGAGCCCTACCCACCTCACCGGGCCCTGTCCTCCAGGGTTAGTTAGCTTTGGCCCTGAAGGGGTTCAGCGTTGTCCCTTGCAGCCCTTGCCCTACCCCTTCAGGAGCTCTGAGCAGGGCTGATTCCTGGGCACAGTAGACTCTTTAACTGAGCTACTAGTTAAAGTACCTAGTTTAATTGGATTAGGTGTGGTAGGTGATGCATTCATTCCACTTTATAGCAAGGCAAGGAGATGCACACAGAGGGGTCTCTGAGCAGCAGCCCTCCATGCTCTAGACCACCTGATGGGAGTCTTGTTCTCCAGGGGAGAGGGGGTGAGCCTGCCTCGCATGACTTGCCCCCTGGTGTCCATGCAGGCATCACTTCATCCTGCCAGTCCCTTGTTCCACATGCTGTCTGGTGCCTGGGCCTCTTGCTTCTGTGGTGTCCACTGCCCCAGGTCCAGTGGCCCTCTGGGGAGGTTTCTGACTGTAAGCATTGAATGTTACTCCATTTCTTTTTTCTTTGGGAGTACTGAAGCTGTATCCACAACCCCTTTTTAAAAAGTTTTTGAGGGGCTGGTGAGATGGCTCAGTGGTCTAAAGCACCTACTTAGAACAGGCTTAGTAAAGCACAGGGACCGCGGTTCAATCCCTCAGCACCACATGCCAGCTAGCCCCGCCCCCTGGTGGGCTGAGCTGGCCACGCGCGCACACACAATAAATAAATAAATAAATAAATAAAGTTTTTGAAAAAAACTTACCAAGTTGCCCAGGCTGACATTGAACTTGACACGGAGCTTGGGATTCTGCCTCAGCATCCCAAGTAGCTGGGATTATAGGCATAGTACACCGTTTTCTTTTTTGAAAGTGTTTTAATGTAAGCCACAGACAGACTCCCCTCAGCTCTCAGTAGGCCTCCATGAAGAGCAGGGTGTTTCCTGTGCCTGCTTGCTCACGCTGTTCCTCCAACCCAGAAAAGAGGCTAACTTAGGCCATGTCCTGTGTCCTTCATGGGTGAGCCCACCCTGCTTGGCCTCACAGACTCGGGTGGCTCCTTGGGGTCATCTAGAGTAGGATGAGGGCTCAAGCCCCAGGACTGTCCAGAACCAGTGGTAGCCTCAGTGACTAGCTCCCTACCCTGGGAGGTGGGAAGTGCTATAGCAGAGGGTCATAGTGGGAGACTATGGTGACCTGGAGAGTCCCAAGTAGGCTCACGCTTTGTAGGCTTGAAGATGGGAGGCCCCAAGTTCTTTGCTCTGAATTCTTTGTGTTGCCACACCCACCTTTACCTCTGGACCAGCGAGCTGGCTCTGTAACTGGTCTTGTGAGGCCTAGGGGTAGAGCCTGAGGGTGTCTGTTGCTCAGCTGCAGTTGATAGGGTCATATGCTGCCTTGGGATGGTGATGGGGGCCCCTTGTCTTGAGTGAGGGTACTGGGCACCATTGCTTTTTGGTAAAGAAGTGAGAGCCCCTGCCAGGACACTGCATCCCCCATCCCTGGCCCCAGAAACCTTGAGGTCCCTAAGCCCTATGTCCTGGGGACAGAGTTGCTGAGCCTGAGCTGCTGTGGCTCTTTCTTTCAGGTTGGTGGCCTGGGTCGTGGGCCAGAGTGGAGTGCAGCAAGACAGACCTTGCAGCAGAATGTGGATCAGGAGCTATTGGCCCTGCAGCAGTCCTGGAAGCAGGACAGGAGCCCCAGTCTACCTCAGGGGCCCCACCGTCTGGTGAAGATCAAGGCTGGGTCAGCAGGGGCCAAGGGCCTGCCAGTGGCTGAAGTAATCAGGCTCCTGAGGAGCCAGGAGGCCAGCCTAGAGGCGGTGCTGTGTAAGCTGCAGGGACAGTGTCAGCAGGAGCTGGCCAGGCTGGTGGGAACTGTGCCAGGCCTCATCTGGATCCTGCCGCCTAGATGCTGAGGTCCCATGGACACAACTTCCCTCTCTCCGTGGAGGCATGGGAACATGCTTGCCTGTGCTGACCTCCTTGGAAGAGCAGGTTCTAGGGTAATGGACACAGGGCTGGCTTGTGGAGTGTTCAGCCCTGGTCTGCAACACTGGTGCTGGCATAGCTGTGAGGAGTCCTGGAGGAGACCCAGAAATAAATGGTGGAACCTTCCCTACCTGTGGGGTCCAGGCCACCTTTCCAGGGCTCTGTCTGAGTGGGAAGAGGGAGCTGAGGCCCAAGGTAGCTGAGCTAAGCTGTGTTTATGGGAGGCCCTACATCTGCCCTGAATGCAGTTGTGCCCTCCCACCCTGCCTTGGCCCACTGCAAATCCCAGTGCAGGCAGTGCACACAGCCTCCCTCCTGTGTTGGCCATAGATGTGTCTGTGTTGGGGTGGGGGCCGGATGAGGCCTTGGCTCTGGTGCTTTCCCTGGGGGTAGTGCCTGGGCGTGTGGACAGAGGGGCTTTGTTCTGAAGGCTGCACGATAGCTCAGCCTGACAAAGAGCTGCCTGTGTTGGGTTTGCGCCCACAGCCCAGTGGATTGGCCGGCTGCCGACTCCTCTGCCAGGAAGCACAGGTGGGCCTATGACCTCCAGTCTTGCCTGTCTTTCCATCCCAGGCTTCAGACCCTAACCCAGTGCTACTACAAGCCTAGGCCAAGGCCACTGTCAGCCCCAGGCCCCCTGGCCTCCCGGAGCCTACTGCCAGGCCCAGCTTATGGAGTTTCCCACCTGATCCTCATAGACATTGCTGCTCCTGGGCCTACAACCTGGCTTAAGCTCCTCCTCAAGTTCCTGGAATTTCATTTAAAACCCAGATGCAGATTCAGTGTCATGGAGCTGTCACTTTTACACTTGCTCTGTGGCTTTGGTAGTTGCAGTCAGTGTGTGTGTGTGTGTGTGTGTGTGTGAATCTGTTTGGGGCTCCTGAAGTGAGGTGGGTTGGCTGTAGAAGCAAGGTGAAGGCAGGATAAAGGGTGCCACCTGGGGGACCCAGACTTACACAGTCTCAGTGAGCAGCTATGGCTAGCAGGCCAGGGGTACAGTGGCCTAAAACAGTCCACATGAAAGATCTGCAGATCAGGCCTGAGCTCCCAGGCCATTATACAGAGTTAAAGTCAGGTGTTGGCAGGGGGCCCTATGAGTTCCTTGGGAGAATTCCTTCCAACTCCAGGGGTAGCTGACTGGAGCTGCCAAGGTCCTCACTTTCACCTGATTCCTAGCCCTTCATGAGTTTGAGGAGCAGTGTTACCACCCTGTCCCCCCCCCCCCATCATTGTTCCCCATTAATCCTAACCCAGGACACCAGGGCCAAGAGCCAGGAGCAGCTTGAGGCCAGTGTAACCATCCATGTGAAGATACACAACCCGGGGCTGGTGAGATGGCTCAGTGGTCTAAAGCACCTACTTAGAACAAGCTTAGCAAAGCACAGAGACCGCGGTTTAATCCCCCAGCACCACATGCCAGCCAGCGCCGCCCCCTGGTGGACTGAGCTGGCCACACACACACACACACACACACACACACAAATAAATAAATAAATAAATAAATAAATAAATAAATAAAAGATACACAACCCATCTCTGTGTCCTCACAGAGATGCTGCCGAAATCATAGCCACAGGAAAGGAAAGCATGGGAACTTGTGCTTACTCAAAAGCAGCACACCTGGAGTGCAGCTCCATCGTAGAGTGCTTCTCCAGGGTTCTGTGCCTAGCACCTTGGATGGGATCCTTAAGGGAAAAACCATGTTGCAGGGAAAAGAGCCATTATAAGACTGGCTAGGGGCTGGGACATGGCTCAGCAGTACAGCACCTGTTTGGCAAGCATGAGGTCCTGAGTTTGATTTTTAGCATCTACAAAACAAAACAACCCCAAAACATAACTTTCATACATTCCACCTTTTTGTTGAATGTCTCAAGCATCACTTTATATATAAAAAAGAATGTGCTCTGGGCTGGGGAGATAGCTTGGTTGTCAGAGTGCCTGCCTGGCAAGCAGAAGGACCCAGGTATGATCCCAGTACCACCTGCTGTGTGCCAGCCACTGAAACCGGGTGTGGTAGCACAGGTCTGTAATTCTAGTGCTGGGAAGGCTGAGACAGGAGGATCACTATGAGTCTGAGCTGTGTATGGAGACGCTGTATCAAGTAAGTATATAAAAGATTTTTTTTTTTAAAGTTCTCCAGTTGTAACATCACACCTGTCCTACAGTGCTTCCTGCAATGCCTCGGTTCTGCCTAATTAGACTCTTAGTTGGCCTTCTTCACATGGCCCAGGGTAGCCTGAGCTAGTGGGCTGGGCTGGCTGGGGTGCTGCTGGGTCTGCACCACAGCTCTTCTGCAGCCACCTCACCATGTGGATGCCTAAAGAGTGTGACAAGCAACTTGTTGACATCTTCCTTGGGCTGGAGAGGGCTGTGTGCAGGTGCCATCTGGAGAGAAATATGGCTGGTTGGGCAAGATTGGTTCCTATTTAGTCATGGGGACCTTGGTCACTGATGACTATCCCTTGAGTCCATAGCCTTGTCCACTCCATGTTCTCCAGTGTGATCTCATGCTTGTCCTTGTCCCCTGGCCTTAGGCCCCTTTCTGCCTTGTCAGTCCTGGCCTACTTTGGTGGGAGCCCTGGTTCTGAGCTACCCCTATGTCAGGGTATGTGGAGGAGGGTACAGAGATAATTGTGGCATTAGGTCCTGGGATGTGCATCAGAGAGAATGAAGGATATAGTCCCTGTCACTTTTGGAGGAGTCTACACAGGCAGGAATGGTCATGGGTGTGGTGCAGCCCTGGGTCTGTGTTCTGACCAGTGATGATGATGACAGGACACAGACACAGAGTGAGATAGGGAGGAAGAAGCTTCTCACTGACAGCCAAGAAAAAGGCCTGACCATACAGGAGACTGGGAGTACTAGGTTGGCAGTGGCTGGAAGGGAGGAGGGGCAGGCACAAGTCTTCATGGAAGGAATGAGTGAGGCCAGGTAGGCAGCCTAGGGACCACCTGGCTCAGCAGTTTGCAGGTCTCGGGTGTATGGTACCTTGGGTGTTCAGTGCTTGGTGGGTGTGATATGCACAAGAAGGCAGGAGCCAGGGTCTCACTGTTTCCAGCAATCATTCGCTGCCCGTCAGGGCCCATAAGCCCCTGATGTCCAAACATCAAAATACAGAGTAAACAAGCTTCACAGTGTCATGGTAGCCACTGTGACCTAGGTTGAGACAAACACACCTCCATGTGGGTGACTTGACCACCACTTGCTTGATGGGGATGCAGGTCACACCTGGGGCACAAGAAGGTTAGAGCCAAAGCCCAGGAGTTGGTGTGGAAGTGGGGGGCTGTGGAAATGCCATTTCACTACCCCCAGAAGTGATATAGAACAAGTGGCAGACAGCAGAAGTTCTCAGACCTGAAATTGCCACAGAGCAGTGGCCACCAGAAGACCCTGTTCACATCCCTCAGTGCACCTGGGCATCTTCTGAGGGTGTAGCCACTAGAGGCAGTGCCATCTGAACTGGCAGGTCTCTAGTATATGCTGTTCAGTGCTGACTGATGTCTCATAGCACTCTGGCCTGGCTGCAAAAAGCCTGGGCCCTGGGACTGTACCACAGAAGGGGCCCAGGAGAGCCAGCAGGCTGGGTGAGGGATCCTCGTGCTAACCCAGGAGGGAGAGTGTGCCTGCTGTCCCACACCAGGGCCCCATGGACAGGACAGCTGCAGGTTACAGGGGCTGTTGTGAGCTCAGGTGTGAGCTGGTTTTAGCAGCCAGGTGAGGCACGTTGCTGCCTTGAGAGGCTCTTGGGGTCTGTAAGTTATAGCAGCTGGGGTTTCCCTGACTTGGAGACATCTTTATCTGGTTCATGGTACTTTTAGCAGTAACTTTTCATAGGACCTTTTTGGTAAAAAAAAAAAAAAATAATGAACAGTTCTGTTTTATTTTTTTTATTTTTTTATTTTTTTAAAGGTTCTTTTTTTTAATATTTATTTATTTTTATTTATTACATTTATTTATTGTGTGTGTGTGTGTGTGGCCAGCTCAGCCCACCAGGGGGCGGGTCTGGCTGGCATGTGGTGCTGGGAATCGAACCGCGGTCCCTGTGCTTTGCCAAGCTTGTTTCAAGTAGGTGCTTTAGACCACTGAGCCATCTCTCCAGCCCAGTTCTGTTTTATTTACGAGGGCCAAATGATTTTAGTAGTGGTGATCTTCCTGTCTTAGCGTCCCTAGTGCTGGGATTACAACCATGCACTACTGCACCTGACATTGAGTTGTTGTTTTGGGTACTAGGAATCAAATGTGGGCCCTCACACTTGTCAGGCAGGTACTGAGTCACTGAGCTAACTGCCCAGCCCCAGTTTTATTTTTATTTTTTTTTCTGTATTTAGGGAAGGGTCTAGAGGGTGTTCAGGGTCTCACTACTAGGTCGGACTTGTGGCGAATCTCCTGTTTACAGTCTCCCAAGTGCTGGGATTGCAGACAAGCACCACCATGCCCAGTCTCAATTGCTGTCCCAGGGCCCAGTCGTCCCCCCCACCCCCCGCCCAACCAGGGATTGAACTCCGGCCCTTGTGCTTGCCAGGGAAGCGCTTATTCCACGGAACCATCTCCCCGCCCCCCAGTTTTATTTTTATTTTATTTAATTTTTTGAGACAGGGTCTTGCCATGCAGTTCGGGCTGGCCTTGTGCTCACTTTTTTTTTTTTTTAATTTTATTTATTTGTGTGTGTGTGTGTGTGTGTGTGTGTGGCCAGTTCAGCCCACCAGGGGGCAGGGCTGGGTGGCATGTGGTGCTGGGGGATTGAACCGCGGTCCAGGTGCTTTGCTAAGCTTGTTCTAAGTAGGTGCTTTAGACCACTGAGCCATCTTACCAGCCCCTTGTGCTCACTTTTGTAACCCCCAGGCTGATCTCAAACTCAGTGATCCTCCTGTCTCAACACAGGTGTGCACCACCATGCCTAGGTTTCCAGAGCCAGCATGCAGGCCTAGGGATCAAACTCAGGATCTTGTGTTTGCCAGGTAGGTGCTTATGCCTCTGAGCTGTCTCACCAGCCCTGATTGATTGATTGATTATTTATTTACTGAAAAGGTCTCACTGTATAGCCCAGAGCAGAATGGAGCTCCTAGTGATTCTTCTGCCTCAATCTCTTTAATACTGGGATTACAGGTCTCTGTTTATACACCTGGCTTGATTTAATCCCTAAATAACTTCATTTGCTTTACTGAAAGGGGGTCTGGGTCTGGTAGCTCTGCACACCTTTGCAAGCCTTAGTGTGGACATTGGCTCCTTCATATTCCTCTCTTTAAAATGATGGCAAAATTTAAAATTTATTATAGGTAGGAGAAAAACAGGGCCAAGAGCCATGAGCAAAAGGGTAGGGGAAAAAAATTAGGCTCTTCAGAGTGAGCTTGGGCCAAGTAAAAATAAAAAATACATACTACAGGGTTATTGTGGAGAGACATGGTACCCCATTTACAGTTTCTAATATCCACCGATTTTTT